GGGGATGCTGTCATCCTTGTTGCCAACAGTGGCACCAGCCCGGGCGGTTTCTTGTTCCCCCACATGGATGTTGGCCCTCCCAATGAAGATGTTGACCTCATCGTCATTGTCCGGAGAGGTTTGGGTGAAGCTGGTGGCCCTCACTGTGCTTCCCACCTTCCCGCGGGTGACAGTGACGCTGCCCGAGTCGGGGATGTAAGCGTATTCATCCACACCTTCGGCGTCAACTTGGACGTCCTCCATCTTCTCGGTGACAGAGGCGAGAGCGGGGCCTCCCATCCCTGTGCCCCGCATGATGCCCTCCTGCCCTTGGCCAGGGACAGTGTCCTCGCCGCTGCCCTCGTCCCCAGCCCCTCTGGTGATGGGGACCCTTTCCCTCCCGGCTGTTGTGGCCCCCTCCACTGGAATCCCCCCAGGGGCATCATTATCCCTGTCCTTACTCCTGACACCGGACCTGTTCCCCACCATGGCCTCACTGGGGCGTGCGCCCTGGGGGAGAATGGAAACACCACCATCGACTTCAACTACCAAATCCAGGTCGCCGCTGCCCTCTGAGCTGGCCGGGGTGGGACCTGCGACGCTGACACCACTGTGTGCTTGCGTGCTGGTGCCCAGGCGAGGACTGTGAGCATCCCTGTCAACACCTGGGGCGCTGCGGTTTTTGGGCTTGAGGCCAGTCCCGTTCTCCATTGCATTGGTGCTGCCATTGTCACCTCGCTCCGGGGTCACCCCGTCCTCTGTCGGCCCCCACCTGGCATTATCCTCGCTCAGCTGGTGACCGGGGATGGTGCTCTGGCTGTCGGCCTCTTCCTTCTGTGCAGTACACACAAGGGAGAGGTCAGGGCCAGTGCCAGCGCACACCGGCTGCATGGGGTGCCACAGCCAAGCCGGGGTCCTGCCGTGCCGCCTGGCCGCCTCCTCACCTTTATCTGTGTCTGGTTCCTCCGCGTTGAAAATGAGTAGACATATTTGAAAACATAAAAGCCATGCTTGGCATTGCAGCCTTTCAGCAGTATCTGGTGGGGAAGAAAATAACCAAGATAACCACCAAATAACCACGATTTTCTTATTAAATGCAACAGCAGTAGCTTCCCTTGCTGTGCCTGGCACCGCAGCAGGGTTCTACCGCCCCCACTGGGGCCGCAGCGTGAGCGGTAGCTCCCACCACCTCGTGGCTGCCAGCACAGGCAGAGACCTGGGCAGGACGTGTGTGTTACCCTCCTGGGCTCCAGGGTTTGATTTCCCCTTGGGCTCATTTTCTGCCTTTGCTTGCTTTCAGGAGCTGTGGGGATTTTTTTGCAAGGTAGCTTATGGCTTGAATAAACAACCTAGTTGATGGTCCCATCAGACATGAGTGATGGGACCAACAGTGACCGAAGCGCTGGAAGGACAGCAGCTGGCTTCCAATAGGCAAACCCAGGCATTTTCTTCCACGCTACTCATCTGAATTTTGATACTGATGCAGTGAATTTTGATACACTGATACACTTGAAAAAACCCCATAGCAGCTGGGCCTGGGACTTTTACAACCTCACCTGTGGGTACACCAAGCATTTGTGCTCTGGGGCTGGGCAGGGGCAGAGGAGCAGCCAGGAGGGGGGAAGCCCTTCCCTCGCCTGAGCACATCACACCTTTCCCCTCCCCTGTTCTTCATAACTGATGCAGTGAATTTTGATACACTGATACACTTGAAAAAACCCCATAGCAGCTGGGCCTGGGACTTTTACAACCTCACCTGTGGGTACACCAAGCATTTGTGCTCTGGGGCTGGGCAGGGGCAGAGGAGCAGCCAGGAGGGGGGAAGCCCTTCCCTCGCCTGAGCACATCACACCTTTCCCCTCCCCTGTTCTTCATAACATAAGCTCGGATGCAAGGGGACCGCCAGTCTCTTTTTCCACAGCTCACTGGGGTTCCCTCCAAAAGTGGCTTTTTCTCCCTGCATCCCCGGTGCAGGGCACCCCACGGGGTCCGAATGGGGTGGGGGGGGGACGTACCCGGTGCTGTCCCATGCAGTTCCCGGCAGCTCTCCTAGGCAGCGGTGGCGGCACCTGCGGGCAGCAAAACACAAGCAAGACCCGAGGTGTCAAATGCTGCCCCGGCATCCAGGCAAAAGCCCGCTGCTGGCCACCCACCCTGCCCAGCGTGATGGGCACACCACGGCATCCAGGGAAGGGTGGGAAAACTGTGTTGATAAGCCAATAAATTCCCGGGCACTACCCGGGGTGCTGGCTTAAAGCCAGCAATAGGAAAGGTCAAAAACCCATTTCCAGGGTCTGAAAAGTATTGCAAATTCTGCTACAGCATGCTTGCATTGCATGCTACATTTAATAGGATATTGTTGGTCTGCAAATACCTTTTTACTGGATTCTGCTGCAGAGTATTTTTATTGCAGAGCATTTTTAATACATGGCACCACTGCTCACACCACAATGCTCCAACTTATGGCTGGGATCTGACTGCAATGGGAACCTGGAGCTGGTTACCTCATGGTGATTCCCAGTGTTTACTGGGCAACTGAGCATTGACAGCGGTGCCCTCACAGCCAGGTTTCTATACATGCTTGCAAGCTTACGGCTTCCCATGATTATCCTGGCATCTTTTGGGATGTATTGGCCAGTGCATCCCTCTGGGTATGGGGAATCTGGATGTGGGAGCATCCTGTGAGCCCCACCAAGCCATTTTGGGGCATTCCCTACGTGCCAGAGGGGGAGACAGCCCCATGGAGTGGAGCCCCCTCTGGTCTCAGCAAAATCAGCCACTGAAGTGCCCCAAGCCCAGCTGAAAGGGCCAGAAATGCACCCCAGAATATTAAAAATTCCTGGCTTATTCCATTGTTTGTGAACAATGTCAAAGGCTGGATTACAGTGCCGGTTACGCAGCAGAGTATTAACCGGCTGTCTTCTGTGCCCCTATCTGAAAAGCAAATCTGTGCTGATTTATTGCCTTCCCCCATGCTGCCCTGCGACAGACCCAGTTGTACAAGCTTGCCCTGGGGGCTAAAGAACACACAGCCGGGGCCCAGCCCTCAGGGAAGAGGTAGTTTCCCTCCTCCTTACCCTGCCAGAAAAGCAAGCCTTCGCTAGG